CTTCTCCACCGGTTTTTTAAACTTGTGATCTTTGTTGAATTTCCATCAAAGTTAGATGTGTTTCTTGACCTCAAGATTGTTACAATTTATTTTACTAATCACTCTCAAGTGGGCTGTTGGGTGCCCTTGGATAATTCTTTTTTGATTGTTTGTTTTTGCAATGTAGTTGTATTTGTTTTTTTAAATATTATTATTATTATTTTCTACCATCAACTCACCGTTCGTCTTGAGTGTTATCAGCCCCGGAGGCCGTCAAGTTTATTAACCTTGTACTTGTATTTACGGATGAGAAACCGAATCCAGTACCGATCATTGGATCTTTCTTAGCTAGATCTAGCTACTATCAGTTTGCCCGTGATAAAAGAAAAGGACAACTCAGTCAGACGTCCAGTTCTGCTTGTCACTTACACCAGTCGCCCGACTTGACTTCGGTAATTATGATAACATAATATTATTATAGTGTACTTTGTCATGCGTGCTAACCAATAATAATTTTAAGACAATAATACATGTATTATTTTTATTTCTGTCACAGGGGTCACCAAACTCCGAAATAAGGTGCTTACTTCAAGTCAGAAAGCGAAAAAAAAATTCCAGGTTTGGGAAGAGAGAGGGAGAGAGAGAGAGAGAGAGAGAGAGAGAGAGAGAGAGAGAGAGAGAGAGAGAGAGAGAGAGAGAGAGAGAGAGAGAGAGAGAGAGTGCATCGTTACATAATTATCTGCTCACTCTACACGTCAGATGATGAAGTTGTGGCTACCACTTTTGTTGGCCGTCTGGCTGTCATCTGCGAGCGGAAGTAACAACAACAACAACAACAACAACAACAACAACAACAGCAAGCAACCAAACATCATCTTTATACTAGCAGACGACTACGGCTTCAACGACATCGGTTACCATGGCTCACAGATTGCCACTCCAAATCTTGACAAGGTAAGACGTATTATGAAGGCAATAATTATCAAAAAGCGGATGCGACCAGGAACGTTTTTGTTTGTTGTTGTTGCAATTATTGTTGTTTTTTTTTAGGGGAGGGGGGGTTAAGATCAAGGTATTGTAAAGACATCAAGATCTGTGTGGTACAGGAGTGGACGCTATTATAATTATCGTTGTTATTATTGTTTTACTATTATTATTATTTTTAAAAATTATCATTATTATTATTATTATTATTATTATTATTTATTATTATTATTATAATTATTATTATTATTATTATTATTATTTATTATAATAATAATAATAATAATAATAATAATAATAATAATAAAAAATAATAATAATAATAATAATAATAATAATAATAATATAATAATAATAATAATAATAATTATTATTATTATTATTATTATTTTTATCATTATTAATATCACCATTATCCCAATTACTATTATCATGATGATGATGATGATGATGATTTTTTTTATTGCTTCCTTAATGGGCCTGGTGGACTCCACGAGGAAATCTTCGAGCGAGAGCGAGGCTCTTTTGGGGCTCCATTGTCATTATACTTAGAGGCACCTCCACTCGTCCAAATAACTCCATTCGTATTGCCATTGTTCCTGGACATTCAAACTTATGTTCGACATCAATCGGATGATTGGTTGTGGCTGTCTTCCTTCGTTGAGAACGGGGCTCCCTTTTGTTTCTCTTACTTTTTCCTAGCCTTATACAATGTAATATTATATGGACAAATTGCTGTTGATGTTTTACTTCTCAATACATCTTTTAAAAAACCCCCCCCCCCCCCCCTTTTTTCCCCCCTCCACCCCTAAAAGAGATTAAAACACAAGCAAAACACAAACAAACACCCAAACAAAGACAGATTTAGTGTTGAGCCCCTCCTTCACTCACTCTATATCTCTCCTTCCTCCTTCACTCACTCTATATCTCTCCTTCCTCCTTCACTCACTCTATATCTCCTTCCTCCTTCACTCACTCTATATCTCCTTCCTCCTTCACTCACTCTATATCTCCTTCCTCCTTCACTCACTCTATATCTCTCCTTCCTCCTTCACTCACTCTATATCTCCTTCCTCCTTCACTCACTCTATATCTCCTTCCTCCTTCACTCACTCTGTCTCTCCTTCCTCCTTCACTCACTCTGTCTCTCCTTCCTCCTTCCCTCACTCTATATCTCTCCTTCCTCCTTCCCTCACTCTATATCTCTCCTTCCTCCTTCACTCACTCTATATCTCTCCTTCCTCCTTCCCTCACTCTGTCTCTCCTTCCTCCTTCCCTCACTCTATATCTCTCCTTCCTCCTTCACTCACTCTATATCTCTCCTTCCTCCTTCACTCACTCTATATCTCTCCTTCCTCCTTCACTCACTCTATATCTCTCCTTCATCCTTCACTCACTCTATATCTCTCCTTCCTCCTTCACTCACTCTGTCTCTCCGTCCTCCTTCCCTAACTCTGTATCTCCTCCCTCCTTCCCTAACTCTGTCTCTCCTTCCTCCTTCCCTAACTCTGTCTCTCCTTCCTCCTTCCCTAACTCTGTCTCTCCTGCCTCCTTCCCTAACTCTGTATCTCCTTCCTCCTTCCCTAACTCTGTCTCTCCTTCCCCAGCTGGCGTCTGATGGAGTAAAACTAGAGAACTATTATGTCCAACCCATCTGTACACCCACTCGTAGTCAGCTCATGTCTGGAAGGTACCAGGTGGGTTCTCGTATATTTTATATTTTTATGATAAGTTTTGTTTTTGACTGTATTTGTACTTACTTTTATATTTAATTTTTACGTTTTCATTCTCTCTTGCTGTTGACCGTCGAACAGAGATGGGGTTTTCAGCGGAAGAGCAAATGTGAGGTGTGCAGACAAAATGAGTTACTTCTTGGATCCGAGCACTATGGGAACAGATTCATCACGCTAACAGATGAAGATTTTACAATTTAAAAGCATGCAAAAATAAAAGACGTGTTATGTTTTAAGAATATGGCATAAAAAAGAAAATCTACAAATTTGATCCTAGTGTCGATTTTTTTTTTACCACTATCTCGATTTATAATTTATAGATTGCGAGAAAAAACTCATTTTGTCAGCACGCCTCAGAAATTATCTGCAGCTCTTTCAATTGAGACGCTGTAGTTTCTAAGGGTTCCGTTGACGCCCTCAACTACTTTGCCTGGTCTACATCATCCTTTGTGGCCTGGGTACTTGGTGTTATAGACTCTCGAGGCTGGCTGGCTAGGTGACATTCCGAACAGGCGGCAAAATCATTCAAATTGTATTCCTTGTTTTTCTATGAAACATTGGCACGTCTCAGGTTTTTGTTTTTTTGTTTTTTGTTTTTTTGGAAAGTGTTTTACGGCGCTAGCAACATCATAAGGTCATATAAGCGCGCGGGGCACACATTTTTCAGTTGGTAGAAAATTTTGAATTTTGTCCGGGTGGCAGCCGAAGCCTACCCTTATCGATTTTATCGATTTTAGACCATCAAGGGATCTTTAACGTGCGCAACTTGCACACGGGCCCTCCGAGATTTTTTGCCCTTGTCCGAGAAGGCTAGGTGTAGATCTTTCCTACCAGAAGATCAGGGGTGTGGCAGAAAGACAGCAGTAG